AATGCCGAGGCTTACACCCACTCGATCGGTCATTCTGAACGAGCGTTAGAGATTCTATGCTACGAGGTTACAAAGCACCACTTTGTGAAAGACTGCAAACACAGAACAAACTTGTTTCTCCTTTGAAAAGAGGAGCAAGGACATGTGCTACGAAGAAGCCGCATTTGTCTCTTGAGAAGGGTTCGAGGACGTGCGTGGGTGCTTGTGAATAGCAAGAGGGTTGTACCAGTTAAAGGATACGAGGTACCAGTTGCCTCTTCTGATCGATGAACCACGGGACAGGGATATTACTCATGCGAAAATGGCGACTCTGTGACTTGACAGAGATTAGCTGTATCCTTGCGTGGTGGTCAATGTGCGTAATTCTTTTTTACCTTGCACGAAGAATTTCTCTTTCCTTTTCACTTGGTATCAAGTTGTCCGAAGATTTTATTACTTTCTTTACATGTAACAGGCTTTCCGGTACAATTTTCCACGGATTCCGATAAGATTTCCTTTGAATCGTTTCCGATATGACCCAATCTTTCGGTAAACTAACGTCTTTCCTTCTTCCTCCATCCAAATTACGAAGCGTAATTTATTTTCAATTGGCGATACTTGTTCTAGATACGTGTCACGAAAATTAAAATATTTCGTTTGCCGTGCATTTGTTCGAATTTTTCCTAAAATTGTCACAAGTTGCCAGATTCCTGAAATTCGTGAAAAAGTTCCGAAGTTGTTAAATACGTAGTATACTTGGATTTCTCGTTATTTATGTGCATAGAATATGGATCAATCTGAAGGAAAGTTCGCGAGATGCCGAGTTAAATTAAGACACGGATATCTATTTTTCTTACCCTGTTTAAATGGCGAGAGAAAAGGAGAGCCACGAGAGGGAAGAAAGCGTAGGTGAGTCGCATCAACAAGGACACACCTATAACAGGGAAATTCGATGTCGTATCCTAATTGGCGTTTATAGTACACAAGGGTACCATGCCTCACCTCTTGTTATATCGTTCTCCGTAATGAGCCGTGAGAAATTGGAGAATCATTAGGCGTCGAATAGAGAGACCCTCTCGTTCTTTTTTCGTCCATTTGCTTCACAATTTTCTATGGATAATGATTGATAATTAAAGCACAATAATCGCAGGAAATAAGATAATTAGTAATTGAAATATATTAATGACGAAAAATAAAGTACCTGATAATTAAAAATTAACAATGGCCATGGAAACTTTCGAATTTTCTGAATAGAAAATTTGTATCTGCTTTCTTCTTTTTTTCCAATCGTTTCCAATAGAATCTGATTAAAAATTGCCAATCTCGGAATTCTTATAACCTTTTCGTGCAATTTTACCTCGTCTCGTTAATTAATTATCTAGAGAGAAGCTTTCGTAATTATATTTTGATAGAGAAATATCTACAATTTTATATTATATTATATTTAATTTTCTTTTTCATTGTATTTAATAATTCTATTATTTAATAGAAAATCATGCTCTTAGAAGTGGAAGATGAAACACGTGATTTCGTAACGATATATAAAAAAGACTTTCCCTCGAAGAAAAGTCGCAAACCGAAGGAACACAGGCCCCAAGCCGAGTATCGTCCGCCCCTGAATATCCTAAACGGCCCTTACAGAAAGTGCTTGAACACACGTCGAATAAACGTCACTCTTCCATTGAACGAGCAAAGCGAGGATCCTGGAGAGACCTTAAACAGAGTAAACAAGTAACAATAATCGAATTAACAATTATTATTCGATTGACAATTGCGACAATTTGTAAATTACGATTTATGTTCGACGAACTGTGAGTTCCACTGTACTACACGTTGAAATTTGAAATTCATGCATCATATGGCGCTTGAAAATCAATTTTTAAAGATACAACGGTGATTGAAAGATATGACATATTTTTACGATATTTAGATTCGCGAGGAACATTCGCATTTAAAAGGATCTCTTCCGAAAGATGTACCTGACGAAGATCTGGTCGAAAGAAAGGACAATGAACTTAAGCAAACGATATATCAATTTGACTATTCGAAAGGTTAGAATATTTACATGAAACTGTAACTTCGTTAATATTATATAAATGTGAATAAAAATTCGACAATACTAGATGATTATTCGCCTCGTATGGAAATATTCGGAAGAAGGAAAGACGTTAGTTTACCAAAAGATTGGATCATATCGGAAACGATTCAAAGGAAATCTTACCGGAATCCGTGGAAAATTGTACCGGAAAGCCTGTTACATGTAAAGAAAGCAATAAAACCTTCGGACAACTTGATACCAAGTGAAAAGGAAAGAGAAATTCTTCGTATAAGGTAAAAAAGAATTACGACAATTTTGTTTAATATCGATAAATATTGCTTACCATTAAAATCTACTGAGGATTGAAATAATACGAGCAACAATTATTACTTCATTTTTTATAAAATGTTGGTAGTTACATACATAATTGTATAGTAAAAAAAGTATTCGCTAGTAATCTCACAATCTGATACAATTTATTCTTTGTAGAACCGGAGATTCGGAATACGATGCAACTATAGATGCTACCGGAAATCGAGTGATAAAAGAATGTTTATTGGGACCACCACTACCAGTGGAACCACAAATATATACCAAAGAATCCGACAGTTCACCGTCTGAATGTTCTGAAATTCTAGCAGGAAAAAAATTTGTACTTCCTTCGAACATTTTTTGATTTTACGTTATGAAAGTAAAGAATAAAGATATATTTTAACTGGTAGAAACTGTCTTATCTTCCAGTTTTTCTATATCTTCTTCAACAGGTAGTTACTTTTCATAAACACTTATCAAATATAGCAATGAACAGTAGGTAAAGGATTACACTAATTAAATAATCAAACATGAATTATTACAAAACACAACCCGTGTTGTTTTGCTTACACATAATTACTTTACAAATATATTATTTCCTATTTTCACCCAAATTAATTCTTAATTTACAGTTATTCACATCCACACTGGACACACAATATCATATACCATGTAAATCTTTCTTACATTTATAGTCTTACAATTATTTACAAACCTGACTTAGCTTAAGATCATTTTACAAAATATTTATAGACGAACGTGAAACATTTTCTCTCTGTTTTTATTTTAATCTTTACACTTACGAAAGAAGATACTGCATATGAATATATATTATGAAATATTCAATTACGAGTGAAATTAATTTTTGTTTCCCCTGTGAAAGTCTTCTCGACTTAGCAATAGAAATCATAATATGTATATTTTTGATCATACTCATCAAAATAAAATGGTTACTTTTTGAAAGTTCTTAATGTTTGTGGTCGTAAATATAAAATTGAATTATCCCTTATAATAAATTTTCAAATACTCCACCTACTCGGATAGATTACGTAGCCTCCTTCGTTCAGCCAAAATAGTTAACATTTCAAGATTAAACACGATATTTACATAAGCCACTGCAAAAAATATGAGTAACTTTTTATAATATATTCTTAACAATTAACTATACTCCATAAAGCTTTCCATGGGATTAAATTAATTGTACTTGCACAAAAAATTGTACAAAAAGTCTTATCGATGTATACGCTCCTTGCATTTTGTTCATTCCTCATTTTAATGGAAGTTAAGATTAATTTATTTATAAAATCTAATCTAAAAATGGTACCCAGCACGTAACAATAAATTATATAGTTCAGTCTCTCGATTGAATGTAGCGATATGATTTGTATAAAAATTTACGTTTTGAAATTATCGATTCGATATGTAACACTGCAAGCATTTTGTATGTACAAGAAATCTTTGACGTTAATTATAACTAAATAGTGGTACAATTTTCTTTCACCAAAATATTGCAATAGCTGATTATCTAATCCTGATTCCAGTTTTCCATTATACCGTGACATGATACTATGCAATAATGTTATGAAGTTTGTTTTAGGCTATGCACAAAGAAAAGCTAAAAAAATATAAGACGTAAATATTTTCATACTCATAATATGTACAACTTTGATGATTCTTCACAGCATCTTGTCCTCAAAAATTGTTTGCACTATATCTCGCATCGAGATGATTATTTACAAATAGTTCATTTGCAAACTAATACAAACATACGTAGGATATCATCACTGATGCACTTTTCTTCTTCGACTTATTTTTTCACGCATCACCTCCATATTTAACTTAATCATTTACTTACATTAAGCAATTGTTTGAGGTAACGATATCGTCTTCAGAGATCATATCTTGAAGAGGAATACCTTGTTTCTGTAAAAGAAAAATGTTCAGACATGTTAATTCATTTTAGAATCTCTGTATTCCAATAAAAAAATATTTATGCTTACTTCGATGACAATTGTGGAGGCCATATTATCTGTGTCATGATATTGTACGCCTACATTTGCTGCTGCTATTGCTATAGTACGAACGGTATTGGTGCTGGTCGAAGTTGTGATGTGCTGGGTAATCATGGCGTTTTCGTTTATTCTACTGGAACCATTACACTCTTATATGCGTAAAATAAAGAATGAGACACTGTGCTTGTTTTGCATAAAGAAATATTGTAGAAAGAAGATATAAACAGAGATAAACTTACTTTCGCTTTTTTACTTGACCAGAATGAAAACGACCACCTTCACCCCGAATTCTGTTCATGGCATGTCGATGACGCGATTCATGAAGGTATTTCTGTAAAAACATATCAATTTAAAACACATACGAAAAAATATATATGTGTGTATACATAATTTCAAATTAAGAAGAACTGGGCATATATTTACAGGTCTTTCCTTAGGTATTTTTCCTTCGGCTTCTAATTTAGCCCGAGCTTGACGGCGTTTTAATATACGTCTATATTGTTTAGCATTTACATATAAAGGTTCTTCTTCAAAAACTTCTGCATTTGGCAATGCTACCCTTTGAAATTGCGTCTGTCCACTATTTCCTGGCACCATCTAAAACATAAACACATATAATTTAGTATCTTTAGAACATTATCTTAAATTTATATTAACTTGGTTATATTAAATATTAAATTCTCAGAATTTAAAAATTTAGAAAAGAAGACAATGCATTGTCCATGTTGCTCCATAATCACTACAAGTCAGTATAATATATACACAGACTATGTAAGTGAAAGAGACACTTTAATAGTAATCACCATGACAACATTTCCTGCCTGAGACGCTGTAGCTGTGGGACTTGCTAATGGTTGTACTGGTGTTGTGGTTGCTGCTGTGGTTGTGGTTTGCGATGTAGTTCCAGCAATTTGCATAAGATTCCCATTGATATTAATTACTAAATGAAAAATGTGGAATTAGGATATAAAATTAGTAATTTAATAAATAAACAAATTATAAACATTCATACCTGTTGGTTGTGCTTGTTGAACTTGACCTTCCAACTGAACTGGTTGATAAATATAAGTTTGTCCATCTGGAGTTTGGATTATTTGAGGTGTCTGTGGTTGTTGAATTACAATTTGTTGACCTGTACTGGTCAAGCTAGACACTGGAACAACTTGTATTTGTCCATTTGGTGCTGCAACTTGTATAGCTTGTGGCAACATCATTGCTTGGCCTCCTTGACCCATCTGAACAACTTGGACGGTTCCTCCGGCACTACCAACCACAACCGCCTGCCCTTCTCCCAGTTGCTCCATTGTAGATTCCTCCTATCACTGAACAAAAAAAAATTGACTTTACAATAGAAAGATAAGAATGCAGTTATGTTAAAAAATAAATTAATAGGAATGTAAGTATAAATTTTTCAATGGAAAAAATTAGCTCAACACCACGAAAATGGGTTTACATACACGTGCATACACAAAACGAACTTATGTATACATGTGAAATCATATATAGCGAAGCTCTATACATCATGTAGAAAAACATTTATGTTTGCTGGTAAGATGAAAATAAATAAATGCAGAGCGTTGAAAGGTTAGAATCTCGAGGGATTCTGTAATTCCTTTAAATGTATTTCGAGTCCCGTAAGCATTGATAAAGATCGCCAACGTGGCGAACACATTAAGGTCTAAGAACCCACGTGCAGAACGTTAGATACGTAGGAAACAGAATCGAGGCCAGGCAGCAATCATCACCTTCTGTCGGGCAGAAATCGTTTCCGAAGGATATTGCATCCTGTTCTCAGTGACATGATTAACCTTGTATTTTCGTAAACCTTGACACGCAATGAACGCAGACGTACGAAACAAAGACCAAGTCTACTGGGTAGTACTTTGAACGCGATACACTCGCCATGGAACGACGCGAATTTCGGACGAGAAACGCTCGTCTTGACAAACATGGCCGTGCAGAAAGACTTTTTCAATCTCAAGAAGACACGAGTTCGTTATTGAAACAGTTCACGAAACGAAAACGCGGTTAATCGTACAACCGTGCGCGGTCGTACGCGTACCCCGTTGATGTTTGATAATTTGTGGACTTACATTGGATATTTTCGTGGGCACTTTCCCAATGATTGGTCGGCAAATTGAGGACCAATGGTCGGCGATAGAGAGTCCTCGGCTCTTGTGTATTGGTGGCACTGAACGGGGGGACCTGCCAGTCCGATAGCAGCCCGATGCCAGACCGGTCGATGCCCCTCCGCGCCACGACGCGCCTAACCAATCTACTGGCTTGACTTATCCCCACTACCTACTTCCCGCGCTCTCGTCAAACTTCGCGCGTTCCTAACAGCTTATTTCCCGCTTCCTTTTAAATCGATTTACCAGTTCACTATCCATAGTGATCACTGATAATTTTCGAAGTTTTTACACTATTTTACTAATTAAAATTTAAAAATAATTTATAATTAAATGATTTAATAAATCGAAATTTTTATTTCAGAATAAATTCTTAGTTAAATAATCTTATTTAAAATTCCAGTTTCCAAGTATTCTATTTTATTTGTAAAATAAAAAATATTCGTAATATATTGTAAATTGTAATGTACAAAAGTATTGGTATGGTTAAATATAAATGAAGATATTTTCTCAATGTATTTTACAAAATAATTAGTAATTAACATCGACAATTTTTGAGTTTGTATATAATTTTCATAACAAATTAGTACATTTTTACGATCGTAATAAGCTGTAATTAATAATATAACAAGAGCAGCTTATACAACGTTTAACCATTGTTTATTGCTGACTATATTTACTTTTATTCAATGTGACTGTTATTCACAAAATAATATATCATTTTACAATTTATTATGTACTTAATGCATATAAATTAATAAAGGGTGATAATGATACAACAATCATTATAATTTCAATAAAATATAAAATTAACAAATTTTGATAAACAAAATACATTCGAGAACGGCAATAATTAAAGAATATAACATTAATAATATTGCTAATTCGTATAAATATCACAAATATGTTTGATTTAGGAATTTGTTTGCTTTTGACATTATATAAACATCTTCTCATAACATACAATGTAAAAAAGACAAAAATGTGCATGTTAATTAAAATACAAACTTTTACATAAATAATAAAAAATATTATAGTCATTTATGAATGTTGATTTTTACTGAATCTACATTTTAGCTAGTATGTTTTATAATGCTGCTTGTGTACATGAAATGTTTTCAATGCTCAATCCAAGGTTAACAAGAATTATTCATTGGTTCAGCATAATTTTGAAATTTTTATGCGAAAAATGATAAATTTACGATACGATTGCATTTATTAAATTATAACAAAATAGCCTTTTTATATTGTTTCTTGATATACATCTTAGTGAAGATTAATAACAGTGGTTCAACTTTTTACAATATTGTATATAAATTATGGAAAAGCACTACCAAATACAGCTCTTTCATTAGAAACTGGTCGTTTGGAAATACCTTAACTTGTAACACTTTAAAACAATTTTGTATATTCAGAAATTGTCAAGCCATTTTAACATGTTATTAAGAAATAGTACCTGAACTTTCATCTATAATACACCACATTATAATGTTTAATCAATATTCATATGTAAGTAAAATCTGAATTAAATTCAGACTAACATACTGAAAATTAATTTTAAAAAGATGTATATGTTTTTAATGTCATGTAATACAATAATTTCGCTCAAGCAAGATGTAATCCTGCTGAGGAAATACCAAAAGATCACGATAAGAAAGGAACAACTAAGTCCTCTTTGTGTTCAACATTTACATCTTCTAATGCTTTTACAGCCTTATTGAGCATTTCTGTAATCTGTAAATAAAATCTGTGTGATTATTTAATAAATTATAAGTATTTTTACAATAATATTGAAGTATCATAACAACAGAATTTTGTATTATTTATATGCATATAAAAATCAGTATATAATATAAATATAATTCAATATGTGTATGTCTGTGTATATATGCTTACCAGCCCATGATCTCCAGCAGCAAGAGGATCTGCTGCTAATATTTTCTCTGGAGCAGGAACATCTTTAAGTAGACAAGATGTACTATCAGGGACTTTAATACCTACAGCTTCTATACGCTTAGAATATGCACGTGATCTATCCATATATTCATGCTGTTCCAAATTATGTGAATCTAATGCTCCAACATCTATCACATTACTGAAATGAAATATTTTAATGTGACAAATTGATCTTTAATTATAATGTCTTATAGAATAAAACAATAAAAATCTAGGAACGTAGATACTCACGCAGCCGTTTCATGCAAAATTCTATTTAATGCACTTTGTTCATCTGTTTTCTTAGGTGCTGAGCTTGCATATTGGTTAACATAATCATCACTGAGAGAAAAAAAAATAAAGAAAATTTAATAATTTCCACTTGATATTGTAAGAAATATGTAAGAGAAACATAACATACCTATGTACTCTAGGTATGTTTGTGTTATTACTGACAGGATCTACCAACAAGTGTGTCCTTTCATTTACTTCCCCACTCTACAAAAAATAAATAAACAGGGAAATTATATTACATATTTTAATAAATTAAATAGAAAAAGTATTCTAATATTTGTATTTAATTTATATTTTTTGAATGGAAATTATAAAAATATTAACTACGTCGAATTTATAATACATGAATAGGCGGAATTGAGATAAAAGTTTATATTATTCAGCATATCTAATATCATGAGATAAGTTGAAGTTTTAAAACATTTCACATGATTAAAATAATTTACTTCACTTTCATTACCTGTGGCCCGTTGTCTTCTTTGCAGAAACTGTAACAACATCCCATACTTCTAAATGAATTACTAACACTTTTTCGTGAGTCGTAATGCTACAACCTATTATTTTTAATCTTCCTTCCTGTAAACAATCGAGTGAATCAGCTCTAGACGTGCCGATACTGCGCTTTAACCACTATCCATAAATAAAATATACTGCAAAGTGTGACAACCTTTTTAAACCAGATACGAAAACTCTAACAAAAAGGATATGAACATGCAACGTTCCTGGTGGAGTTTATAACGTACTAAATCAAATAACATAACCTTAAACATTTTCAAGATAAGAAGTGTACGAATTAACCGTGATATATTATTGTTCAAATTTTTATTATTTATTAAAATATCAAGGAGTCACATTAACTTCCCTTCATATAACACTACATAAAATTAATGTAAAATTGTACATATTATGTTATTCAATAAAATAGTGTATAAAAATTATATTATCCATTTATAATTTATACATTGAGTAAGTATTGATTCATATTCTTTCAAATTAGTGATGTAACAAGAATACTGCATATATCTTTAAATTTTATATTGTAGTTGAATTATATCAAGGAGAATTTTAATTATTAAAAGTTATTTATTATATCTACATCATGGAAAATACCAAGGTAACCTCAGTCTTCTTTCGTATAGAGCGTATATGCGTGTCATGCATGCACATCTGTACATATAACTATATGACATACATCTTTATATTTAAATATGACTCTATACGTTTTTATATATAGATATGAATATATATAATATATAATTTCATTTACAGGATGCACAAGAACTACAAGCATTTAAAACAGTATTATTGCACTGTATGGTGATACTAGCCTTACCTGTAATATCATTTTTTATTAGCAAGATTTTTATTTTTGATGGTATGGAAATAAACAATATTATTGTTAGAATATTTAATTATTCTGCATATTATATTTCAATGATTTCCAAAAATTATATTTCCGTTGATAATATTTAATATATAGAAAATATAAAAATTATATTTATTTAAAAAAATAGTAAAGAATATGGTAATTTTTTCATATTTTTCATTTTTAATCTAATACCTAATATTCAACATTTGTTATATACATTTTTGGATTGGAATGTTATATATACATAAGTTACTCAATACAGTACATCATGTATACTTTTGATTATTATGGTACTATATATTGATAATATACACATATTTACGAATATAATTTTGACATAATGATATCGATGTTTTATACTTATTAAAATGTATTTTTATACATTTTAGGTTTATTGGGATTTCCTGACATTGCAAGCAATGTATATGCATCCGCAGTTTCGATTCTCGTGCTACACATAGGCCTGGGATCTTTTATATATCGTGCATATTTCGATAATCAAGCAAGGAAACAAACGAAGCGAGAGTAATCATTGATTTGTTCGTGTTTGAAACACATATGTAATTAAGTACACCTTCTTGATAACACATTTATTCGCGTATAATGATTGAAAAAAAGATGTTACATTATATTGTATTACATTCTGTAATCAAATACTTCTTTGTTAATATTTAGGTAATATTTTCCTTTTTCTTCGTTTTATTAAATACTGTGAATTGTGTAAAGAGCGAGTATACCTAAACTTGTATCAATTAATCAAACATAATCACTAAATAAAAAAAGCAATGACATTCCCACACAGTACTTGCATATTGTACAGCACAAACTTTGCAATATACATACATCTATATAGAATATGATTCCATTACATATTTTGCTTTTATATTTGAGAAATCTTGTAGTAGATTATTTTATAGATTATAGTGCTTTGATACACTGCACCAGATGGATAAATTAGTTGTAGTGCACTTTAGGATCACAGTAGATCAGTGGCGAAAATACCTTAGTACAAATTCGCCCCCAATAACACTGAATAGTAGTCATGTAATTCCTACCTCTGAGGAAGAATAAATAAAATGAATCGTGTCTAATATACAACGCATTGATATATCACCAACTTCTTTTAGTACCAATGAGGAACAGTATCTTTGCAAGAACTATAGAAAATATTTATCAAATTAGATGGAACACAATTCAAAGGAGAAAATATTTTACTTTTATGAAAAGCTATGAATTATGTACAATATACTTAACTATAATTTCATTTTTAGAAATTTCATGTCATCAAAGCTTTCATAATGTTAAAGCATCATAAAATGTACACAATTTAAGTTAGAAGCATTTATAAACCACTGTCGAAGCTGTAAGCAAATCCTAGGACAAGCTTAAGAAACTTCATTAAGAAATATTAATTTATTGAAGTATCGTAAATGCAACAAAAGTTTGTGTGACAGAATATTTTACTGTCGGCCTGGGAAAGTGTTGGAATGAATGCTTACTGTATTAAATACATAAGATCGCCAGCGATATTAACTACTTCGCAATTTAATTTAGTCATTAGCTCTAACTTAATATTTGTCTTATACATTATAGGTCATAATGTATTACATCTTTTACTGGCAATGAAATCAGGGATTACATCAGAGTATTCCACTGATAAAAATTTTGTTACATTTTCCTAAAAGCATATTAAATGTTGAAGAATTTTTTTTATTAAATTACAAAGATAATGTTTCTATATTAATATTATTAATAACTTCCCGTGAAATGAGAAGACCATTATAAATTTTGTCTATTTATCTATTTTTAAGTTAATTAGTTATTTTCCATGAAAAAACAAAATGACAAATATACAAGCCTAAAAAAGAAATTTTGTACACTTTTTTTTTATTAATGAACGAATTTCAAAAATTGTAGCGCCTGTTCTTTACTTACTCATAATTTATGTCAATTTTTACTTATAATTTGTTTAAACGAAATAACATTAGTTAAACTAATATAACGGAAAAAATAAAGATTTTTTTTTTTTTTTTAATAACTCATAGGCAAAAATTCTTCAAATTTCAATATACTTAAATTAATGATACAGTCATTCTTAAATAGATTAACTTATCGCATCAGTAATCGTGATGGGAAAAGAAAAGAAAAAACAATCACATATGTAAACTAAAAAGAGATATCAGGCGCTTTTGTGACATGATAGAAATGACTTATGTGGTGACATAATTTTCGTTATTTTAATCATAATAGATTTAATAGTATTAAAACACATAAAATGGGATGATTGTTACACAACCTCCATTTTTTCTTCTTCGCTCTGTTGCTGATTGGTCTGTGAATGACCATCACCTTGACTATTTTGATTGGTTTTCTGATGATCTTCAGCACCCTTGTTGTCTTTAGGTTTTGGTTTATTTAGAATTGAAACTACAACGTTATCCAATAGCTAGAAATGCAAAAACCATATGTAAGAATAACAAACATATAAAAATGTATCAATTACATATTAAATTACAAACGCTTCAAATACCTGTATCTCTGCGCGAATCTGAGCTACAGTAACGGGCGGTTGTTGTATGCGAGGTGTACTTGCAAGAAGTACACGTTTTTCTTCCAGCCACGCCCATTTTTCTTGTACAGTTGTCTCAACCTTCTTGATTTCTTTTTCTGTTAAGTGAGAATATTTATCATCCTTTCCACTGGATGCTTTAATAAGATCAAGTCCTTTTTTAGCGAGTTGTAAAGCTCCTGCTAATTCTTCTAGCGCATGACCTCTGCCTTCAAATTCCATTCGTCTTTCTTTGATTGGTTCGCCTTGTGACTAGCAAGACAAGCATAATTTTTAATTTTTAATAAAAAATGTTTAATTAAATAGTTAATACAAAATAAATGTAATTTACTTTGAGACGTGTTAACCGTTCTGAATAAATTTGTCGCTGGCAATCTTCACCTTCTTCATATAGCCAATTTTCAGTTTCATCTAACGTACGGCAAAGTGCTTCTTTGTCTGTTTCCGTAATAAATGTGGATAACTGATCCTCTTCTGATAATTTAGCACGTAAATCATACACATATTCTTCTAATGCGTTGCGGGCATCAGCTCGTTCTTTTTCTTGTTTATCTTGGGCGATCATTATGGCCTATGCCATGCGAAGTAAATTAATACAAAATAAATAAATTACGAAAGTATATGAACAATTTATAATAAACATAATTTACCTCTTTCTCCATTGCGATATCTAATTCACGTTGAGAAAATCCATATTCACGCATTTCCAATGGTAAATCAATAGTACGAACAGGAACTTTCTTTTTACCTTTACTTTCATCATTCTTATCATCGCCCTGAAAAATAATAAGACATCAGTATGGCATATTTTTAACTGTTAAAGTATCTGCAACAAAATTTATTGCAACCTATTCTGTTCTTATTATAAATATTAAAAATAAAAAATACTTTTCTGCATTATAAACACGAGCGCGCACGCACGTACGCACACACACACAATTGTTATTTTTTTTTTTTTCATCCAATATTCTCAGAAATTTAAAAAAAACAATTTTTTGTTGTTAATACAGTAACTTATAATTGCAATAGATAAAATTAATATAATAATGTTGTAATGAAATTAAAATACCTTAAATAAAGGAACACATAAAGTAGAAGTCAGGTGGAGATAGAAATGAGCAGAAGACAAAGAGGAGCATTATTTTTATGCGAGCAGTTTTCAATTCGTTGTTTTAAATCAAAAGTATCTTATATTAATATATATAATATAAACAAGATCATTATTACAAAATATTACACGAATCGAAAACCGAACCGCATTGCCTGCCTTCACAATTGTAGCATATTGGTAGTTATTGCATTATTAAAAATTACTGTTTCTTTTCCTTCTGCGACCCAGTAAAAACAAAAAGAAATAATTGAGCAAAGACAGACAGCACGGCGTGACACAGCTGTATCTTGGACCCATATGCATCAAAACACACTATATGAAATTATATTATGCATATGTTTATACTTATAAATATTAAAACATTAATTTCTATTATTTTAAAATTGCATATTCTGATTATATTATGTTTCTTATATGTTGCTATAATTAACCGAGTATGCAGAAGAAATCGACACAGATTTAAAAACTTTAAACATAACTAAATATCATGCATTAAGGGAACTACAATATATAACAAATTTCTAATTTATATACATACATAAATCACTAGAATCAGACTAATTTATAAATATATTTGAAAACAATTAAATACATATAAGGATAAATATAGTTTATTATAAGCTTCATATAGAATAAATATTTTTAAATTTAAATCCTTTTGATGTAATTAAAATATGCTTAATAAAAATTTTTTTTGAAATAGCGAATAAATATAATATATATAATACGTAACACGCGATTCTCATAGCATGCAGGATATTTTAGTTGTATGATTGTAATGAACTTATAACAGATAATTGACGATGCTGATGTGATGAAAGAAATAAAAGATTGATGCCACCTTCGAACATGAAAAGCTATTCAAGTAACTATTATGACTTATAACAACCTAAGAGCAAAGTCAAAATATTGCACATGTTTCAGTTAACATATGGGTCCAAGTAATGATAGTGTGTCGCGTACCGAGCTGAGCCAAGAGAGAATCCTGGAGGAGTAGGAAGGGGCAGAACCCCTTGCACTTTTTCCACCATCAGCAGCATCTGAGTTCCGTCGTGTTTTATCCATGCTCACCTAAACCACAACAAACTCACATAGTCATGCACCAGACACTCAAACATATGAATACTGTATTTCTATGAGAGTGAATCCCTAAGAAAAATGAATTTCGTAATTTCCTTCCATTTACACTTCATTGTAATTTAATTGTTATTTACGCAATAAACATTCTTTTGAAATATAGTTTTAGTAATTTTAACATTGTTTAATTAATAATTTAATTAAATAACATTACACAAATATAGCTAATATGAATGAAAGCATATGAATGTATTAAAAGATATATGTTACTACTGTTACATGTGAAGTAGTAAAAAATAACTGTACATACACATAATAGAACTTCAACAAAACGTAAAGTAACATACCTCAGGTGCTGGTGGTTCATTTGCTTGTGCTTCTTGATCAGATTTATCCTTTTTGTCTTGCTGTTGGTCAACATCCATATTATTTTGTTGTTGCTGATGTTGCTGTTTCTCTTCTTCTTCTTTTTCTTGTTGTACAACTTCACGTTTCTCTATCAGCGATGCCGAAACAATAGTAAGGATTCCATTTAGATTTATTCTCACTTTTATTTTTACTTTTGACAACTCTCCTTCAGATGTTGGTTTCACATTTTTTATTGTACATGTGCCTGTAAAAAATGTCTGCTATTAGAATAATACTCTTAATTACTAAGAAAATAAAATGAAATACATACCAATGTGAGTTTGAGGGTAGGATGGTGGTGGTGTACTATAACTGGCAGTGAGTGTAAATGGACTTGATCGATAAAATGTTAACGTTTTTGAGAATGGTACAGGATGATTGTGCCCAAAAATCTCCATTTCACTAAAATTATAGACAACATAAAAGTCAGAAATACATTCTTATGCGCGTATTACTAAATATTACATATAAAATATAAATTATTGTACCCGTCTTCGCCTTGAGTAGGATCCCATGTTAATTTTAATGGATAAGGCTGAATGTCAGTTACTGAAAAATCACGAACTCTTACAGCGGGACTCAACATAGCACACTGAAGTGCACATCCCCGAGCAACTGCTTCATCTTGATTTAACGTCGTTGATACAGTACGACCGAAAACTTCTTCAACTAATCGTTTAATAGCAGGAACACGACTAGAACCTCCCGCTAATTCAACTGAGTGAATATCTTCTAGCTTTAATTCTACAAAAAGTATTACAATTTAAAGTATGTCTTATAGAAATTGTATTTTATGTAAATTTAAACAACATGGAAATGAAACGTACTAGAATCTTCTAAACATTGACGCAAAGTTGATTCAACGCGTTTAAATAAACGTGCACACATTATTTCCATATCTGCTCGTTTCATTTCACCATGTACATCTTTCTCATCCATGAAACATTCGATATTAACAGGAAGTGTCGTTGAATTGGCTGACATTTGCTTTTTAAGTTTTTCTACTTCCCCTAATAATCTTACATATGCACGTGGATTAGTGTACGGATCAATATTATAACGTGATTTAAAGTCTTGACAAAAATGTTCTGCTAAAATAGAATCTATGTTCCTTCCACCTAATTGACTATCAGCACTACTTGCTATCATCTGAAAATATGATTTAATATTTTTGTTTAAGATCATTTCACATTATGTTCACTTAAGAAATATGTGAATATTACCAAATTAAAATCACTAGTAAATTAATTATGATTATTACATACCTTTAACTTTCCTTTGTGGAATGCACAAATGCTTACTTGTAAACTTGCATATCCACAATCAACAAAAACTATATGTCTCGGGGGTGCATCAGGTGCTGGTAAATCTTGTTTGTAAATGCCATAGCACAAAGCAGTAGCTGTGGTTTCATTAAATAATCTAAGGACATTTAAACCAGCAATACGTGCAGCATCAAGCAATGCCTGACGTTCAGCTTGTGTGTAATATGAAGGAACAGAAATAACACAGTCATTAACAATAGTTTGGAGAGCAGTTTCAGATATATCTTTTAATTTCGTGAATAACATTGCAGTTATTTGTTCTGGTGAAAAGGTGTGGTCTAGTCCCAAGTATTGTACCTAAAATTTAGAAACAAGTATAAATACCTATTACTATCTTACCTAATAATTACTTTTATGATTATAATCTTTAACGCATAAATTATACATAATATGATTCATCATGTTTTAACTCCTCTTATGAGATATAAATAAAATATGAGTCCCTACAAATGTGAGAAATCTGGCACAATGCCCAGATTGAATCTAAGTAACATTTAAAATTACATGAAATAATTAAAAACAATGTCCATTAATATACTATATTTTAATATATTATTATAATTATTCTTACTGATTTATAAAATGACAATGTATTTTAAAGAATATCATTAAAACAATCATAATTTATTAATATTTATTATTAATGTAGTAAGAACAAAATATGTTCCTTATTAAAAAAAACTTACATGTATACCAATACTTCCATCTGGCTGTTGAGTTACCTCAAAAGGTAACATCTGAAGCTCTCTTTGTACCTGTGGGTCATTATATTTTCTACCCAATAATCTTTTAAATCCATGAATAGTATTTTTCATATTTGTCACCATTTGATTCTTAGCTGCTACACCAAGAATGCGATTTTTTTCACTGAATGCTACACATGATCTAAAATCAATATACATGTTTATTAATTCTAATACAAATACAAATTTTCATTTAAAAACTGTTATTACATAAAATTTATTTCACACTGAATAAGAACGTATATATGAATATTCTACGTATATTAGTATATGTAGATAGATTACTTCTAGAATAATCTACCTATCTTCACAATATCTGCTTTTTCACTGAAGAATATATGAATTAAAAAAAAAAAGAATTAAGAGTTTATTATTCACTAAAACATATAAAAATTTAGTAAAATATTTAATATTATAAGGCTATGTTGTAAGAAAATATCAAAATATTTCTAGAATCTTGTTCCTTAAATGACAGATATGAATTCTTCATATAAAGAATATGAATCTTGTTAAAATAATTGACATTTAAACAATATATAATTATTAAAGACGAAATTAAGTTAAAAAATTATGTTTAATGTTTTAACAATTAATAATAAAAATTTTTAATTATTAAACTTTAACACTTAAATATTTTTGTATATTTTTATATTTTTAATATTTTAGAAATATTCAAAAAAGGAATATGAGAATCACTCTGTCACTTTATCATCACATGGTTATTAAATAAAATCAATTTACAAATAGTAAATGTAAATATATATTGATTAAATAATTTTCGGTAGGTTAAATTAAAATTAAACAACGTTTTGCACACATTTTTCGTATATAAAAACTAATATAACAGTAATGTTACATCTTTATTCATTACATTAATTCTGACGTAAACTAATTGTAGTTTCCGCCTCATATGACTACATGAATTTCAAATAAAGAAAAAATAGCTCGTAGATCACAACTATACTATGGACTTTTTTGTACTTCTTAGTCATGTGAAAGTAAGCTGTATACTTAAATAGATAAAACGATTTGGGCATAAATGGCAATGATCAAATAATAGCGTTCAAACAGTACATACTAATTACTCAAAATTTAATTATAAATTGCTTTTAAGTTGTTTTTGCATTTTTACGTAAATTTCTGCAATGAAAATTGCGAAACAAGGCAAGTACCTGAAGATACCGGTGAGCACCGGTATCTTCATGCGAAAAAGAAAAATTATAAAACGATTATTATAATAAAAGAAACTTACGGTGTGCCTCGAAGACTGTAATCATTAGCTATAGTTTCAATGCCTCCCGCGCGTGCTACAGCTACATAACAGCTTTCGTTACCAAAGTCAATTCCAATCACGGACATAGCAGCCATGGCTGATAGGCTGGTGTGACGTTTTTCTTGCGACACTGAATAAATTGTTGTGCGTAAATCAAAAATTAAATGACGATCCTCGAGAAGGATGTACAAGTGATTAATAGTCGTTTAGAATATGCGTTGATAACTATCGTATACGCTGAACTCACAATCTTACTCAATTCTAGCTCTTTACTCACGCAGTAGTCTGAACGAAATGCCCTCCGCACGGTAACTGTGATTACTTCTTTCTGCTAACTTCTGCTGAAAATTCACCAATCATGGCGCTGCAGTGTACGACTGCTATTGGTCAGTTGGTTGCTCTGGAACATTCTGGAATTATGCGCCATTGGAATCTTCCTTTCCGATACAGTCAGTTTCGTTTCTCGAAGGATCGAAAGTAACGGATCAATATCTGACATGTTTTACTGGAAAGAATTTACTAGTACTATAAATAAAGAATCGATTAAAACATTATTGACTTATTATGTTTCCTTTTTTCCGTGTACTAATTTTCAAGGATTTTGAATTTATATATAGCACATTTTGCGCATGGATATGATTGGTTTGGATCACAATATGTCCGTCATGAAACAAATTTTGAAATATTGCAATACGTATAAATGTGAAATGATGTAATTTTACAAATATTCACGATAGTACTATTTTTTAATTGTTATGATATGATTATTATATGAGATTATAGAAACAGTATAATATCTATATAAAATTTTAATAAACAATTGCAAACATTAATTGTTTGTATCGATTGCATTTTTGTGATTAAAGAAAAATGATTACTCCTCTTAGTAAATATCTTACGTCAGGCCAATTCCATAAAATGTTCTTTTCATGGCATGTAGAATTTGTACATAAGATCGTTTTATTAAGTAATTTTAAATTAAAGCAATTAAAAACGTAAATATAACACAAATTGTGTTATTGTATGATTGTATTAATTATTGGCAGTTATTCAGTAAATTCATATATCGATATATTATTTATAAGTAGTAAATATAATCGTGTAAAATCATATGGTTTAAACCTAGAAGTGTATAAAAGCTATATAAAATGTCACGTTTGTGTAATTTACGGTTATATCCAGTTATAGAAAGAAGTAAACATTCGACCAATTTCATAACCAATAGAAATTTAAAAACAATAAATGAAGTTAAAAATGTACTCTATCAAAATAGTAAAGGTTATGTTCAACTATATTGGAAATTTGAGAAATATGTTTATCCATTATATAAATTATTAGATATATTTAAATCAAAGGAAATTCATCCTTTACTAACAAGAATAAAAATATTATTGAATAATCGTGATAATAATCATGAAAGAAAACAGTTTAAAAATTTAGGGTTTATATTAAGTAGTATTGGACTCTCAATAGTTCTGTGCGAATCAAAAGATCATCGAGGTATGTATTTTGTATGTATGTTTGTTTGTACTTTGTATTTAATTATGTATAATTTTCATTATTAATTACATATAAAAGTATAGTAAGTACATAAAATATTCATTTCTTTATTAATATTTTTATTACAGAAAAGCAATTTTTTTGGGCTGCAAAATATGGCAACATTCCACAATTAAGAAGTGTAACTATGCAAGAATATTCTACTATAATGCTAATGGCTAATGAAATATTTGTTTGTAGATTATAAAGGGAGGTATTGATGTAAATATACGCCATTCATTGGGTTGGACAGCATTGCATCTTGCTGCTATTAATGCAAAACCAGAAGTTGTAAAACTTTTATTAAAGCATGGCGCTGATGTTAATTCCCAAGATGAGTTCATTAATGTTTATGGAAGTGCTATAGAAAAAGGATTACAAACTTTGGAGGGTACAAAATTGAGATATAAATTATAATAATTAAATAGAAATATAATAGATGTTATTACTTTATAATTATTTTATGAGATATTGCATAAATTTTAAAAATTTTTAGTGCTTTTGCAAAGGGAAGAAGAATTTTGTGATCATTTGAATAGTAGAGCCACATTCAAAGGTTTTACTCCGTTACATTACGCTGTATTAGCAGACTCTAAAGAATGTGTACAAATTTTATTAGAAGCAGGAGCTGATCCAACAGTGAAAAACGATTTAGGACATCGAGCAGTAGAATATGCCAGAGATGGAGAAATCAAAGAAATGCTTATAAAACATGCTATAGAATATGATAAAATAATGAAGGAAAAAGTACATATGATTAAAAACAAGCTTTGATTTTTACATAGTGCCATTTTTGATCCATGTTTTTACCTGATATTGTAAACAGGAATTAGAAGAACGTCGTAGATTTCCATTAGAGCAGCGTTTGAAACAGTATATTGTTGGACAAACTGGAGCAATATCTATTGTTGCATCTAGTAAGATTTGTTTTGCATAATCAATAATTAACATATAATCGAATATAATTATATGTAATATTTTATGTAATTACAGCTATTAGAAGAAAAGAAAATGGATGGATCGATGAAAAACACCCTCTAGTATTTCTTTTCTTAGGTTCATCAGGTATTGGAAAAACTGAATTGGCAAAGCAGTTAGCTGCCTATATTCACAAAAATAAACAGGAAGCATTTATTCGATTGGATATGTCTGAGTATCAAGAGAAACATGAAGTTGCTAAATTGATTGGTGCACCACCAGGGTATGCATTATTTTGATTTAAATCATGTAATACATGTAATTTGTATATTATACATACTTGCATATTATTTCATTATATTGATTAGATATGTGGGCCACGATGATGGTGGACAATTAACAAAACATTTGAAAAAGTGTCCAAATGCTGTTGTATTATTTGATGAGGTTGATAAAGCTCATCCTGATGTATTGACCGTTTTGTTACAATTGTTTGATGAAGTACGTTTATTTCTTGCATTATACGGTATATCGAGTATTTCGATGTCGGAAGACTCTAGTAAAATGAGAATTTGGATTTCCTTTTAGGGAAGACTCACTGACGGTAAAGGTAAAACAATCGAATGTAAAAATGCAATTTTTATAATGACATCAAATTTGGCAAGTGAAGTAATCGCCGATTACGCAGTACAACTTAGAGAAGATGCTCAACGTGCATTAGATAAAAAATCAGAAAACATTTCTGGTGAAGAAGATGATCCAGAACTTATTGAAATATCTCGTAAATTTAAAGATGATGTGGTAAATATTAATTTCTTTAAAATATTTCATTAATGCTTTTAAAATGGATCATAATTTGTTTAAATCGATCACCTTACAGGTAAAACCAATATTAAAAGCACATTTTGGTAGAGACGAGTTTTTAGGCAGAATAAATGAAATCGTATATTTTTTACCATTTACTCAAACTGAACTTATAAAGCTAGTTGCTAGAGAATTAGAAGCATGGGCTGAACGTGCGAAGAAAAGGCATAAAATAGAATTGAAATGGAATAGAGAAGTTTTGTCACTATTAGCTGAGGGATACGATATTCATTATGGAGCACGTTCTATTAAATATGAAGTGGAAAGGCGCGTTGTTAATCAATTAGCTGCTGCTCACGAACAAGGCCAACTTGGTATGTAAATTATCATGACTATCCAATGATAATTTTTTCAGATTCTAATAAAATATTGTATTTTGTATAGAAAAAGGATGTTGTGTGTTACTTAAAGTTAAATGGCATAAAAATGGCGCAAATATAGCCTTATCAATACAACGCAAAGGTGCTAAAGATTTTGTTGACATTTCTACAGATAACTTGATAAAAAATGTGAATTCTGCATTTTAATATTATCAAGAACTATTTCGAATTTTAGTATTATCAAGAACAATTTTAGCAAATGTAGAAATATATTATAGTTTGATCTCATAATGTGTATAAATAAAAAAATTGGAATATTTTGTATTATTTATTGCAGAAACGAAACTATGTTTGTAATGTTTAACACAGTAATGTATGTTTAATAATCTACAATACATGTTGTTCATATAAATTTTTACATCTCCTGTTTTGTACTTTTCCTTTTTCCATAATATCTTTGCAAAATGAAATGTAGGCATCTGACGGAAATAAGTAATTCTTTATTTTAAATCGAATTATGAGGATACATTACAAGAAAATATCGATTACACTTCACATTTAGGATACATTGTACATTCTTTACGTAGTAAGATAAGAGACAACCCCGAAATATTCAGAAAACCAGTTGTAGAAACTGTTTCTCTGCCTTGCTTATCGATCGCCTCATAATAACGTTTTCTCAATTATTTTTGTACGACAATCATAATCCGACTATTATCATTGAGTAGTTTAATCACTGAGGATCGCGATAGGTGCGAGCATTTCGATTGGTTTAATCATATTGTGCAAGGCAAATTCAGGTCCAACAACAGGGTGTCTATTTATGTAAAAAGTAGTCGAAGTAATCAACGCATGAGATCGTTCTTGAAATCGATGCATGAAAGCTTATGGTAGAAATACGATATAAATGTGACGTTTAGAGAGTGAAAGAGGGGGAGGGGGGGGGGGGGGG